GTGCTTGCTTCCTAAAGAACGGTTGTTTAGGAAGGGAAATTGGGAGGAAAGGCTGAAGTGTGGCAAATTACTCAAGAACTAGACTGAAAATCAGCAGCAACAGGTCTAATGCACTAAATCTATATTGGACATTTTTGGTTAATTTCTTTATCGAGGAGGTCAGTGAGTACAACACTGCCATCTGTAAAACACGATGGAGGCTCTGTCATGTTTGGGGCTGCATTTCAGCCAGTGGTGTTGGAGATCTTAGAATTGATGGAATTATAGAAACAGAAAAGCCCTGTTAGATTTTTAACCGCTGTGCACGCAGTACCGTGTGAAAAGCGTCTGGCAACAGCTTAGTTTTTCAGCATGACAACGATCTCAAACACACTCCCAATTCAGTAAAAGCAGACCTGGATAGAAAGACACAATTAAACTCTACCAACCATTGACTGGCCTCCTCAGAGCTTGGACCTCAACATTATTGAAGCAGTGTGGGATTCTCTTAAAAGAGAACAGGACAAAAGAAAGAAACATCCAAGGAAGAGCCGTAAGTGTCCTTCAAGAAGCCTGGAGAACTACTCCTGAAGAGTATTTAAAGAAATTACAATAAAGATCGGTCATATCAAATAGTGTCTTCCAAGCTTGTTAGAATGATGTGAACTCCGTATAATCTTGTATGTTTGCACGTTACTGTCATGGTCCTGAGTCTGTGACCCAGTGTTTTGTGTTGTTTATTATTAATAGTCTTTGCTTTTGTGCTATTTAGAGTTCTTAGTCTCTTGGTTTCTCTGTCTTCCATGTTTGCTCTGTTTTACTTTGACAGTCTGCGTCCTATGTTTATGTTTCTAGTTTTGCTTCCCTTGTCTCGTCCTGCCTAATCACTCCCAGCTGTGCTCTCCTCCTGTGCCTCATTCCCCTCGTTATCCCTCAGTGTGTTCTTTTTGAGTTTACTTTTCGTCTCTGCAAGTTTGCATTTGGGTCCTCTCCTGCCTGCACACAGCCAGTTTGTGACAGTTTAAATCACTGCACCCATTTCCCATTTTCCTAGCAAAATATGGCTCAAGACTTTTGCACAGTCCTGTACCCTTTTATATAAAATCCCTGCAAACAAAAATTTCATTTCTGCAATGAGCTATACTTACTCTTCAACAATGATTACATCAGGGAACCACAACATTGATGTCATAATGGACAGCTTTTCTATCCCACAAAACTCTGAAGAGTTCCAAGTCAGGAATTCATTTGTCCAACTCTGGAAAGAATGAAAAGCTGAGTTTTAAAAAGTGCCAGAAAAAATATGAATAATAGAATTAATGAATAAATCACGAGCCTACAGAGCTGGTGTTTATGTAACTGCTGATTGAACAATGCTGACAAATGGACCAAAGTGATCATCTTGGTTTTTGAATGTGCCACACAGATTCTTACCATGTGGACCCTGATTTCATTTGTGAAAGTTTGAGACTTCTCATTCTGGAAACAGTAAACAGCAAAGAGATAAGTTATCGAGGGAATTTCCAAGGAACTGTGTTGTTCTCTCAAAAGGATCAGTATTTATTAATCCACATAGTCAGGGGTGTATTTCTTTATCCTCTAAGGTTCTGATGCTCTAAAACAATAATGCATCCAAAAAATGTTGTGCTGTGTAAAAGGTGAACCAAAATTATTTGCAAATCATCACAAGTGTGGTTGAAGATCAGACACATCCTAAGGTATAATGTTTGAAATGCTTTTCTGCTTTTGTTCAGTCCATGCAAGAAGGACGATAAGGATGCTTACCGATTCTAAAATGCCCAACAAAAACAAGTCCACCTGAACAAAGGTGCTTCTGGTCCAGTTTTTCACTGGCCGCATGGTTTCCAGAGCAACATTTGATGAGGTCAGGTTCAAGTAGTCCAGTAGATTATAGTATGAGCACTCTGAAGTCAGACTGCAGGAAAACCCTGCTGGGAAGATGAAACATGTAGACAAGAAAAACACGTGGCCTGAAACTTCAGATCCTACACAACTACAGAGAGAACGTCTCTTTAACATTTGGTCCATCAAATGTTAAAGTCTAATGTAAAAACTCACCAATTACAGAGATAAAAGCCAGAGTCTGTAGAGCAGCCATGGCCTTTTGCTCTCACCTCAGTCTGGGTAAACCCTTTTAAACTGTAGAGTCTTACACAAAACAAAGCAATACAAAATTGTGCATGAGACCTTTGCATTGTCTATTATAAACAAACTCCTATTTGTCCCTCTGTGTGATTGAACATGATACCAATCACCTGTACATTACTATTGTTGAGCTACAAATGAAGCACAAAGTCAACATAAGAAGATCTCATTATCACATCAAGTCTAAACAGAAAGGTTTCCCACTTCCACTTGACGTAACAGTGAATGATCCCACAAAGTATTTGGCCTCTAGTCAAATAGAAGCTTCACATGTGGCTATAAATCACTGTAATTAAAAATGCTGAAATGCGCACAAGAGGATTTCAATGGTCGGGAAATTCAGGAGTCAATTCTGACCCTCCCATTTGAAAAGTCGCAGCGGAAACTAAGACTCATCGGGCCAGGCAGCATATTTCCAATCTTCTGTTGTTCAGTTTTAAACAGCTGAGTGTTTTTTTGAGTTGCTGTTTCCTTGCTATCAGCTTGAAGCAGTCCATCCATTCCCCCCTCACTTGTGACATCAATAAGATACCTTTTCCCAGAGAACTGATGCTCACTGGACATTTTCTCTTGACAAAACTGGATTATAGATGGCAGAGAGTTGGTGTCGTAAACCCCCGCCTCTGTCCACTGTGAGCGACCATCTTTGAACAGAGTTTACGACACCAACTCTCTGCCATCTATAATCCAGTTTTGAGATCCCTTCCCAGACGCCTTAACGCCCACTCACATCCTGGGCCATCTGACCTCAGGAATTCGCATGATAAGGTGGGGCCAGGTTTCACAATGAACACACCCGAAACTCTGGCTGATTGGGACCCACACCCAGTTTCCCACCTTGGCTTAGGCGATTAGAGGATCATCAGGGGGTCCTTTTGTCCCTCTGTGGGGGGATACTCCCACTAGGTTTATATCTGGGACTCTCCACCATTTGACCTTAGAACTGAAGAAGCTTCTCAGATGAGAGGTGAAACGTCTTCAAGCAACTTAAAGTAGTCCAGACGCTTTTCTTTCTAAGCTCCTTTTATACAAGAATCTTTTTTTTTTTTCTGTCCTGTTTGGATCTTTTGCCATCCGAATTATTGTCTAAAGGCAAAGAAAGATGCCCAACGGATTTACTTTACCAAATGGACCCAGTGACGTAAGTTTCATTATCCGATTGTTAGCATGAGGGTCTGTGCAAACTGATGTGATTCAGTGGTGGCTTCCTATTACACAGACTTGTGTCTGTAAAGGCAGACTGCATGGCTAGTTGCTTCAATTCATACACCTGAATTCAAATATTAACAGGTGTGACCCAATAGACCAGATAGTGTAGCTAGCAAGCTCCAGTAGTTCGCTAAGGAGCGTGCAAAATGATGTTACTTAGAGCTTAATAATCCACACTGCAGGTAGAAATCAGTGCTCAAAGAGATATAAGGTTTATGTTGAACAGAAGCCTTCTCTTTCTGAAAAAGTCTAGCAAGTGTAGACATCTAGGTGAAGATCGACTTGCATATCTTGTATACAACTTTGATTTTTTAAAACACGATAATATTAATTAGATAATTAGAAGAGTAATAAATTAATGTCAATCCAAAATTAACATTGGATTAAAGTGTAAAATGGAAACAAAAACAATGGTGTTATTTGCATATCTCAAAGACCCATATTTTATTCCCAACAGAGCAAAGAAAACATGTACGAGTTCATTAAAAAAAAAGAAAAAAAGAATCAGCTCATTTTGAATTTCATGGCAGCAACGTGTGGAAAAAACTGAGATGAGGCATAAAAAGTAAACAGTATTAAAAAGAAACAGCTGGTTAACTGGCAGCAGGTCAGTAACATGATTGGGTTAAAAAAAGAGCATCTTGGAGAGGCAGAGGTTCACCAATCTGCAAAAAAAAAACGTTTCTACAAATTGTGGAACTTCAAAATGATGTTCCTCAATCTAAAACTGTCATCTAAGATTCTGACAGGAAATCTGTGTGTGCAAGGGACAAGGCTTGAATCAAGGCAGGGGCGACACTGAAGCAGACCCAGCCAAGAGCCGTGATCCCTCCGTGGGTCTCGGGCAGGGCCGGGTATCGTCACTACAATCGATTCGATTCTGATTCACATGCTCCCAATTCGATCCACAATTTCAATTTGATCCGGGGAAATTTTGACTCAGACAGAAATATTATAATTCTGATCCTTTATCAGTAAGGACACTCGTGAGACTTCATCAGAGCTGTGAGCATCACAGCAGATTCCTTTGTGTCAAAGTAACTGAGGATAAAACAGAAAAACATGAAGGAGATTTACCTGGTCTGGGATTTTACAGCAGATGACCTTAAAAATATTCTGCAGTAGAACAAAAACGGGGAAAAACAAGAATCAACATCTGAACATTGCCTGATGCTGCTGAAGTGACGCAGAGCAAAGGTACAAAGGTTTTATTAGAGACACAGCTGTTTTGCAATTTGGCATTATTTTAAAAAAGTTTACATTTCTTCGGTATCAAACAGCAGACATGAGGCTTTCTTGTTAGGAGGCATAAAATATAAGCAAGCCAATAAAGCAGAAATTTAGATTTTTAGATGAGAAACTGTTCTTAGAGTAGAGAGAGAGATCTGCAGGAAGTGTCATTTTATCGTGGTGGAAACAAAACAGCAAAAGTAAGAGAGAATTCATGACGACGTTTATCTGAAGCGAAATGTGAAGCTTGGATCTTCTTTTGCTGCTGGCTCAGTCAGTTTTGGTTGGAGATGAAACCTGCAGCAACAGAATCAGCGCAAAAAGGACGTAAACGCGGAATCCGTTTACCTGCTCTCATTTACCGTTTTAGCTGTTTGGTGGTTGTTGAAATAGTTTTGTGAGGTTTAATCTCGGTTTCTGGCAGAATACATTTATATTTAAAAATCGATTCAGGGTTTTTAATGAACCAATGACGCTTTATTAAAGCTAAGATCGATTTTAATCGATTATTGAAACCCACCCCTAGTCTCAGATCTGCTCCAGAGCCTGTTCCCAGTCGGACATGCCTAAAAACCTCACCTGGAAGCGCCCAGGAGATCCTAGTCATATGAAGCCTTAACAGAGTCCTTTTAATGCGCTGGAGTAGCAGCTTTACTCAGAGCCCTTTGCCCCAGCGCTACAGGAGAGTCCCAACATGCCTCTGGAGGAAGTTTATTTCCGTCACTGGTTTCTGCAAACTCATTCATTCTGTTAGCACCCACGGCTAACCGAACACTTAGCTCTAAGTGAAATTCTTTGTACCTGAAGCCAGTTTAACCAGCCAGGGATCAAACTTCCACCTTTGGTGCCCACCAGGGGCTCTCAAAAGAACCCCTGCCCCAGTGGGCAGGTACCAGATGGGATGCTGGTGTCCATAATGTGGACAAAGTTTCCTGATCCCTTGTTTTCATCATCGTAAAGGACTTCTGAGTCAAGATGATCAATAAAATTGTCTTTAGATGTAAACTGGAGCCAAACTGTATGCAAACATTGTCAGAACACACTTGTTCTTGTTTGTTTACTAAAACCATCTTTCCACCATAAATCACAGAAAATGCAGCCAGTCCAGCAAACAGAGGTTTATTAAAAAGTCCCGGGTGGGGGGGCGGTTCTTAGGGGTAAACATCAGTCGGGAGCTGGAAGTCTTTGAAGGTGTAGAACGATATGTCTCCATAGTCCACCACAGCTATGACCACTGGGATATCTCCGCTCTGATAGGCCAGCAGCTTGATGGCTCGCAGGTCCGGCACGGGGTCATCGAAACTGGGACACAGCACAGAGGTAATCAATTCAAAGGTGTCAGTTTATGAGA